TTTCATCAATATTGGCAAAATTCAGTGAATTTTACTTTGATAGAGCTAAAGGGCCTTTACAGATAAGATACAGAAAGTGAATAGATGAGTTTACATGCACAATTAGGAAATTTAGTTGAAATCCATGGTACAAGGTTAGTTATTTTAGGGAATTTTAATTGCTGGGGCCTTCTGCATATAAACCGCATCCGGTAAGGGGACACTTAAAAAACTAGGTGAGGATAAGAAAGTAGATTGAGGCCTAAGCCAATGTAATGAGGAATAGAGCCGAGTCACAATGATATAATGCGATTTAAATGGCTATTCATAATTAGTTTCCGTTTATAAATGTTTTTTAGACTAATAGTAGATCATATATATGAGATGTATTGACCCTTTTAGGTTAACGTAATAAAGTTGTTTGACTTTATTTTCGCAACTTGGTCATAGTGGTATGAGGACCTGGAGAAACGCACCTAGTCCGAAGTACATAGTATGGATGATCACTTTCAGAGTTGGACCGTGGACGTGGAAAATCCCCAAGCCGTTTCTCTGGCATCGTCAGTGAGCATTAAAATTCTTAGCACCACACTAAAACTCGTCAAAGAAACAAGAGAAGCCGATCCTTTGACGAATTGTCTGCTAAACAATACCTTCGATTAACGTAATGAAGTTGAGTTTTCCCGTAATAAAATGAGTAGGCCTCAAGATATCATTAAATTTCACTCAAACTTGTCTCATCTAGACCTTGACTTACTGATCAGCATCTCCAGCGAGACCCGAGTCGTGATAGTGTGGCGTATAATCTCGATACGCTAATAACTATGCCACTGCCACGAATCGAGATGTGAACTTCAAAAAAGGCCGAGCACTTTTTCATATCATATTCTGTGGTGGGATTGTCGACCAAGCGGAGTTGTATTTGCAACATCAATTGACTACATTACTTATGTTTCGTTTATAGGTAGGTTTTCGAGATTACAATTAGTTTTGCAGGGCTTTCTGGCAGGTAGAATTTTGTTTATGCCATTGAAATAAATCAGGAACGCACTTAAGATGATTATTATTACCACTGAAGCCTCATAAGAGACTGTAAAACCAACTCATTTCAAAGAGAAATTAAAATTCTCAGAGACTAATGTAATTAAGCTAAAAGCCAAATCACGTTAGATTCAGCTACACATGTCTTTGATAATAATGCTGGGAAAATTGTCTTGAAGTAGTGACCATTTGCCCAGTAACCTACGATAGATTACCAAGAGCAATAGAAGAAATCCTTTAAATAACTTATCATACATAATATAGCTAGTCACCATAAAAATCTAAACTCAAAATACAGCCAAATTAAACATGAATTACGTGGAAAAATAGCCACAGAATGTTTCAACAAGCTTTTTGTACATTCAGGTTATAAAGAGAATGGTTAAAGAAGTCAAATTTACTTGAGCCGGAGCCTGGAGTGATAATACTCTCTTTTCCTGTTGTCGAAGCACCCGAATAATAATAACCAGAGTTGGCGCCGGCACCGACTATACTCATATTCGCTGGCCCTGAGGCACCTGTATCCGCACCAAGCCCACTCACACTAATTCCGCCTCCTGCAGCGCTAGGAGCAGCCGATGCTATAGATGCAGGAGCCGAGACTCCGGCTTGCGTCAAGACAGAACCAGCCCCGCCAACCAAAGTAGTTGTAGACCCCGAAGATGGACCGGACTCACTGGTACGCAGCAAAAAATCATCGAATTGCTGAGGAGTGATAGGAAGCGGTGTGGCAAGCACAGCTTGACAGACAGCAAGGCAGAATGATAGCAGGCAGTCCCAAGTTGCTGGAGTCAGCTGATTTGAGTGTAAAGCCAGTGCCTCGACGGTGCGCATCACCTGTGTAGTGCAAGGTGAAGAGTAGGACGGATTTAAGTCGACCGCAGTCGTTGGAGAGTTCCCAGGTAAGCAGGTGGAAGTCCGGCAGGTCGAGGCAGCGGCAGTGACACCAGTCATTGAGGGATAAGCAAAGCCATAAGGATTAGTGGCAGTAGAGGTCGCGATTGCAGATGAGTTACCAGTGATCCCGAGGGCAAAGGCAGATGCCGAAGAGGATGTGAAGGAAGTCAGTCCCGAGATGGACGGTAGGAAGAGCGAGTGAGACGTTATCGGTGGCAATGTCGATGATGGAGAGAATTCGGATACCGGAAACGAGATTGCCGGATCACGCAAGGCAGCAAACATTGGATGGAATAGGTCAGTCTGTAGCCGCGTTTGCGCATTTGTGAATGGGCATGTATGAATATATGTGTTTGTATATGCGCACATCGAAAGGAGGGAAACGAGATAGGCAATTCGCGAAAAGTTCGTCCGGCCAAATTCAAGGGCTTGGCAGAGGGGTAAGGCAAGGTGAGTAAATAGGCTCGAAAATCGGTATGGGTGACGATCAGGTATAACGATTGTGCAATGATCATGCAACGAAGGCCCTAGATGGCATAATGGCATAGGTCGGCACTCAAAGTCCAATGAGCAGTTTATAATATTAATATAACAAAATCCTTAATGGTACGTATTAGTCTTTAATGGGACCGAACAATAAGAACAAAAAGTATAAATATTACCCTAAAATTAATCAGAAAGTAGTAATAAATAAAGTATAAGGATGAACCTAATTGACGGCAAAATAAAGCGACACAAAACGCAACATAAATATACGAAGAAATGAATGAAAAAGTGAGCTAAACTTTTAAAAATCGCAAAATCAACCATTAGGAAATATCTAGTTTGGTAGCCGAGAAACGAAAAATATACTTTCCCCTCGATTATAGAATAACGAAGAATCTGTGGTGTCTATCTGACTCAATCAGAACTGGACTGTTGACTTATATTCGTGACCTTAGCCGTTAATACGTGTAAGTGGTAACACAAAAATTATTGCATGATTGTATAAAGGAGATGCCACTACAAGCAGATAATATAAATACGATTACTAAAACAGCAAACGGCGGCTTGATGTTCAAGTTAATCCTGAAAACGATAAGTGAAAATCCAGCTATCTTCTGCCCTTCATACATAGGGTGGTTGGTATGATCAAAAAAATATCTACATGCATGAGAATATACCGATATGAGAAATTACGAATTGGGACTGGTAATTGAATATGAAACAGTTTGTAAATTGAAGAAATATCGAGATGCGACTTGTAAATAGTAAAAACCATATAAAGTCGAAATAAAATACCCAAATGATAGG